CGTCATTTTGGCCAAGCGAATATTGGTGAAAAAGCTCGGCCAATCCGAGGTTGAGGCCGAGCCGGCGGTTTAGCTCGGCGATACCATTTATTATTCTATAGGTGTTGGTGCTAAGTTGGGTTGGGCATAATCTTGTCTGGTTGAGGAACTCGCATATGAGTGGCTGTATAGGAGACCGGAGACCGGCCTCTACAATTGATATTACGGTGAACGGAACGAAGCTCGGTTTTCCCCAGGGTGTGGTATCTAGTTCGGCTAAAGAAAGGTGACGTCATCAGGGATATTGTAGTCCTTACGAAATTCGGAAATGGCCCCATGGCGAGTTTACCAGGAACCGGTATTTTTTCATTAAACCTAAACTTTGTGTAAAAGTTAGCGCGGTAGCCTACCTTGGCATTGAGGTGACGTTGGAAGGCTCGGTTGAGCAATGGCGCCGAGGGGACCAAAGTGCAAAGGTGTGCCTGGCCAACCTAGTCAAGTCTACAAAGTGGAGATAAAAATTGTTATGCCCAGATCACTGGACCGGGCTAAGCAAAAAGGCAGAATAAACATAACCCTAGATCGGCTAAATAGGTTGCAACCCGTTCTTAGTCCGGTCGTAACACAAGTTTTAGCTCGGTTATTGAGCATGAAGGTTCTTAGTTCGGTTGTAACACAAGGTGGGCTTAAGGTTTTAGCTCAGTTGTTGAGAGAGGGTTCCTAGTTCGGTCGTGTGCAAACCTATCACAAACAGGTTCCTAACTCGGTCATGGTATTATTTTGGATCAAAGGCTCGCATTCCAGATTGATTGAAAATTCAGCTAAATTTGTTTTGTGGTATGAGCATGTGGTTTTTGGGGATTTGGTGGTCATTACCCACTTATGTGTAACTAAAGCAATGCGTTTTGAAATATATATATATATATATATATTTCTATACTATATATATTCACAGAATAAACAAAAAGAAAGGGGTTGAGCAACTTACAGATTTAAAACAAGAGAACGAAGACCAAAACAACAAGGATACCAACTAGAACACAAGCTTTGCAGGCATTATGGTCTTGAATATGGAGACTCAAGGGGCGAGGGAGAGCAGATGAACAGTAGGAGTGTTTGATTCAAAAGATGGGTTTTTGTATAAGCACGAGAGTGGGCGGGACTGTTCAAATTTTCGTGGTACAAAGACGGCTATGGCAGGTGTACTAGGCTAGTGGGAGCAAGCCATGTGTCCAAAGGAATAAATAACGATTCAGACGTGCTTGAGAGGTAGAACGACGTGCAGAGCAACTGACAAGACGTTCCTGGACTGGGCAAATCGGTAGCCCGGTAATATTTGAGCTCGGTTGAAGGCTTGAACATTTAGCTCGGCTGATAAAGAGTAATCCCAAATCATGCGTTGTAGATGGAATTAAGGGGCAATTGAGAGGGTAATTTATGTGAACTAGGGCCGAGCTAGGTCCAGATGTTGGAATGGACCGAGCTATGGGCCGAGGTAAATGGGCTACATAACTTGGTCCTTGATCCCGTTAGCTCGGTCAAAGATGGCTGCTATTAGCCTAGTCTGGGTGCTCTGAACCGAGGTATAATTGGACGGAGGACCGAGCTAGGCACTGCCCATGAAAGCACCGAGTTGAGTGAGCGCGGTTAAAACTGGTGTCGGCAAGGCAATGTTAGCTCGGTTGTGCTGCTACCAGACCGAGGTGAAACCATCTCACTTGGTTAAGCAGTGAGGAGGATGTAGAAAGATAAGCATTATCTTTGTGATTCCTAGGAGGACTCTACTAAAGGGAGTCGAAGTCCTACTAGGATTGTACTAGGTGGAATCTATAAAAGCTCATGACAAGACCCATGTACAGGTATCACAATTTCTGCTCTAAAAAACACAGAGCTCTTTGTCAGTGTTAGCTCGGTTGTGCTGCTACCAGACCGAGGTAAAACCATCTCACTTGGTTAAGCAGTGAGGAGGATGTAGAAAGATAAGCATTATTTTTGTGATTCCTAGGAGGACTCTACTAAAGGGAGTCGAAGTCCTACTAGGATTGTGCTAGGTGGAATCTATAAAAGCTCATGACAAGACCCATGTACAGGTATCACAATTTCTGCTCTAAAAAACACAGAGCTCTTTGTCTATTGTCCATTTGCTAACTTAGGCATCGGAGAGGTATCCGGCACACACCTGCCGGCTAGCTCACGTTTGTGTTTTCAGGAAGTAAAGCGATGACGTTTGGAGGAGTGCAAACTCGATCAACAGGATTATACAAGAAGATTATTCCGTACATGTACAAGAAGGATCCATCATTCCTTACCCTTTCCTATACACTTTCTAAAAATTAGTTTCATCATATTTTTTTTTTTTAATGAGAGTGTGTGTTTGGTTGGAAACTGATACAGAACATATACTATGGTTTGGTTTTATGATTTGATGTAAAAAGAGGATTTGTTTGAATGTTTAAAGGATTTTATAAAATCTTGTAAAATTTCACATTAAAAATAAATGAAGAAAAGATCAAAAAATTGCTATATAATTTTTTTTTTTTAATCACAAAAGTGTATTATATTAAGGGGAAGTACCAATAAATCTCATTTTCATATCTTAGTAACTAATAAGTCCTCCAAATAATCTAATGAACTCAATATTCCTATTTGTGTGGAAATGACAGTATAACCCTACAGTTTACACTTGTGGATACTATTTAATACCCATAAATGATCGAAATCCCCACAGTTTGAAATTACACATTTGCCTAAAGGGTTTTTATACTCCTTTTGAAATGTTTGAAGGATCGACATTTCAAGCCATTCCAAATCAAAACCCTACAATTTGAAATTACACATTTGTCCAAAGCTTAGTAAGGGATTTTTGTACTCCTTTTAAAATGTTTGAAGAATCTCTCATTTCAAATCAAACTCCACAATTTAAAATTACACATTTGCTCAAAACTTACTAAGAAGTTTTTGTACTCCTTTTGAAATGTTTGAAGGATCCTACATTTCAAGTCATTCCAAATCAAAATCCCACAGTTTGAAATTATACATTTATTCAAGGCTTACTAAGGGGTGTTTCAAGAATCCCTCATTTCAAGGCATTTCAAATTAAAAAGATTCTCATATCAAAATCCACCCCAAATTTGATTCTCATATATTGTGTATCTTACTTTTCTAGCGCGCGCGCGCGCGCGCGCACACACACACACACACAAAAAAATCAACATAATGGAAATAAGGGTATAACCATATGCCCAATTTTCAAAGAATATAAATTTATCTTTTCAAAATCAATGGGACTAATTAGTCCATAAGAAAATCATTGAGAAAAAATAGATCACCATTTCTCAATATGAGATTTATAGATAAATTTTCCTTATAGTCACTTATCATATGATGCTCAAAGAATTAAAATATAAAAGTATTTAAATATAATATTTGGTCGATTTGATTTGCATCGGTATAAAAATATTCAAAACCAAAACAAACTGTATATTATGAAAACAGATTGAAAACTGAAATTTGTATTGGTTTCGATTGGTCAATTTAGTTCTACTGGTTTTTCTTACATCCTAGCTACACGTATGTTTACCATCTTAAAACATTTCTAGTGGCATGCCAAAGCTATTTTTTAGCAAGACTTCTCAAATTTGCACTCTTATCTGTTAAGAGATTTGCCAAATTATAGAACTATCATATCTTGTGTTAAATTTGATAGTCTGATATTGTTAGATCTTTCAACAGAGTAAAATCCAACTATCATCTTCAAAAATTAATAAATAAATAAAAAATCAAAAACTCAACTGGATTTGGTGGTGTATCATAGAGGAGTACACTAGAAGCCAAGTTTGGGATTCATCGATCTAGATCTGTTACATCTAAGGCATTGATCATTGGTAACTGAGAGATCTCTAAGCGAGAGTCGATGATGAGGGTACCATCTGTTCCATCTAGAGCATCCATATAGGCAAGAGTCAATGGTGTGTGTGTGTGTGTGTGAGAGAGAGAGAGAGAGAGAGAGTTGAGAGAGATCTCTAATGAGAGGCATTAAAAAGAGACGTAGAGTGAGAGATGAGAGACAGTGAGAAAGGTGACTAGTGGAGCTAAAACAAAAGATTGCCAAAACAAAAGATGATTATGAGGTTAAACTAGGAGACAAACATGGCTGTGCTAAAATAACATTGTCAAAATTTGATATTTTTATATGCTAACTTGTCAAATTATAACTTTAGTATTAAAATTTTGACATTCACCGTTGAATATGCTATTTCCAAAATTTAGCAAGAGTAAAATTTATTTTCTTCTCCAGTGGTTTTGCCATCCCCGGTACTAAATTATAGCAATACTAATTCTTGGGCCAAATTTAACACAAGGTTTAACATCGCCAAATCTGTCACATCATCCAACTCAACTGCATTTTTTCTTTCCTATCCCTTTTTCCTAGAAACATCACCCACCTTAAACAACCACAAACACAAAAACATATAGCAGAAACACAAACCCAAATTTTGCGATAGAAAAAAAAAAAACAAAACAAAACAAAACCTACAGATACTTCCATGCTGTCTATAAACAACAAACACAAAAATAAACCCACAAAAATAAAAGACAAACTAATTGCTTCTTATGGAAAAACCATATTCACAGCAATCTTTCAGAAATATATATATATATATATATATATATGAAACGCCATTTATTTTAATCAATGCTGATTTTCTTCTACTGTTCCTCCTAACATTAACGACAAAAAACAAAAGAAATAGCTTCTTTGCAATCCACTACCACGCTGTTTTCCCTAGATCCACTTTGTGAGCTCATCTCGATGATCTAAACTATTCATTTTGTAGAATTCATCAAATAAACCATCCATACCAAAAATCAAGTTAATCAGAGATCGATAGTTACACGATCATATCACATTTTTCAAAGCATTTTCCTTTGAAACAATGAATGGCATGTATCATTTTCCGAATTGACCATTCATTTTTTTTTTTTTTTTTCCAGGAAAAAACGGGGTAAATTTGCAAAGATTTAACAAACATCATATTATCATGTCATCTATGAACTTTACACTTAAAACATTCAATTATAAGAATCGTACAACTGTCCAACTTCTGCTCTGGACTGAGCTCGTCTCACATACACCTCGGCCAGAGAGAGGAAGAAAAATATATTTAAATACATGAAAGAATAATTCTTCAATATATTTAAAGAATAATTCAATATATTTAAATGCAAAGGCAATGCATATATGAGAATTAATTACAAGGATGAACAGCCCCAAAAGGACTTGAAGGGCCCTGTACCTTATGCACCACTTGAACTCCATTGAACTGATCATAATACCGCTATATATGAAGTAAAGCCAAACCTTTTTGTTTTCCTCATGGATGGTATTTTCTGTATCAACATCGTTTAACCTCTAGGCTTGAGAGCTGCAACCAATCTGATTCATCAAGCTTCCGTACAAGGTTAATCGTCTGTGCCATAGTTCCAGAGATCTTTCAGCTCACCTCTAACCAGACCCAAGATGACAGAAACCCCTGGGGTACAAAATTGAATGAAAAAAAGTTGAGAAATGTAATCCAAGTATCCAACAAAATTCCCATTAAGTATCCATAAAGATTATATATATGCAGTCTCAGCTTTAAGTGACAATGGCACAATTATTACCTAATGTACATGGAACAAGGTATAGGAGAGCAGGTTGACCATGTCCATTCATTAGATACAAGCCTAGGTAAGTGAAAAAGACGCCTGCAGTAAGAAATTCCTTCATTAGTCTCAGACAATATATATAATTCCATGCAATATGCACAATTTCCAAAAGGAAAATGGTATACAAACATAATTTTCATACATAATTCTCATCTAGAATGATGTGGAAGTGGCATTTTTTAAATTTTAAGTCCAGCTGATGGGTCTCTTGTTTTGGAATGATAGAATCATAATTAGCCACATCATTCTGTTCATTCTCTTTGTATATGAATACTTCAATGTCAAGCCAGGTCCTTCTATGAGTTGAATTATGCTTGGTGACACTTAAAACTTCAAAAGTCTCAAGCAAGGATTTTGGACATCTCTGGCTCAATGAAATAAACATGGCTAAATACCTACTATGATAGCATTGTTGCTTTCCGAGTTGGATTCCAGCTTATGGGGTTTTAAGGATTAAATTCTTGATAGTGAGACACTTCCTATAGCTGCTAATGCCTACTCCAGCCTATTACGGTCCTGATTGGGCCAGACTCCCCTCTGTCTTGTCTGGTTCTGCTTCCTTTTGCCTGTTCTGCCTTGGTTTCTAGTAAGTAGTGGTTGTGGTTCTAATCATGGTGGTTTTCGCGGCAGTTCTTGTAACGGTGATTCTACTGATGGCTCTCGTGGTCAAAATCCACATGGTGGGATCTCCAATACTAATTCTCGTGAGTGTACATATGGTGGGGTTTCTTATAGTGGTTCCACATCCCGTGGTGACAGGAAGTGTGATCATTGTGGTTCCATTGGACATACAAAACCTTGGTGTTGAAAAAAGTATGGTAAGCCTGATTATGTGCATCAGGTTGCGAATGATGTCTCTCCATCCCAGTTGGGTCCTCCCACTTCTGATTCTCATGTTGCACTCACTACTCACAATAGTGAGCTTACTGACCTGGTCCATTCTCATATGTCTGGGAATATTGCATGAATTATGTATTTAATGTCAATATATTACATTACTTACTGACCTGCGTGCCTTTAATTGTATTTAATGTCAATTTATTTTGGGTCTGTAATATGTAGTTAGAAATTTACTTTCTATATTTCAATTATGTGTATCATTTCCTTTCATTTGGAGACGTCTCTATATTATTCTAAGTGAGGGTGTGCCATTGCAATAGTGGATTTCTGAATAATTTAGTTAAAATTGGGCGACAGTGGCTAAACTTGACATTTTTGAAAATGAGATAAAAGGAGTATTTTTATCAATAGACCAATCTTTTACAAAAAATAAAATAAAACAAAATAAAATAAAATCAAGTTAGTCATGTTTTTCAATGCAAAGTACATCAGTCGCTATTGAACCCTTTTAGCTAAATTACAACTTTTTGGCAATTTGGCAATTAACGATTTCAATAATGAATATGTCAATAGTGAATATGGAGTATTATTTTGATAAATGATTAAATAAACAGCTTTTATGAGGCAAACTGGATAATTTGTAAATGATAAAGGAAATGATTTGGGAAATGAAGTAAATAAAAATGAGTTTCTAACAAATAATCACACTTAGGTTAATTAGTTTTTGCCTAACTAATGTATAACAATCGGAATGTGACAGGAAATGATGTGATGGGATGAGTGGTAGTATCAAAACAGAAAAATCGTCTGTGATGGATAGCCAAGTGCGGTATAGACCAACAGATGTAATGACTTTTCTTTTTCTTTATTAATATGTAACTAATGTGCTGACCATTAGGTACTAAGCTTGCAAGGATATTTGTCCAAATTCTTACATTAAGTAAACAGATTGGTCTCCAATTTGAATTACGCCGTGTACTGTTTGCAGATTTTTTTAACATTCTAAGGCACACCAGCACACTGCTTCATATGCAGTGCCATCTAGTTTGACAGGTTATGCCTATCCACAAATACCATTCAATAGAGGTTTTTTTCTTGCCTAAGCCTGACCATTATATACAATTGACACAAGTTCCATTCTCATTTAAAATTTATGGAGGACAAAAGAATCAACATCATAGAAGTGCATTTAAGTGAAGGAAACACAAACCAATGCAGGACTACCCACCTGATCCATAGCCAATTGTTGACCAAAGGAAATATCCATTTAGTACACCCTTCTTGGCTTTGTCATACCTGGAACAACCAAAGGAAACCCACAAGAATTATACACAACAAAGAAAACTTCAAAAAAACAAAAAGAAAAAGAAAAAACTTGACCTCAAAATTTATTAGAATAAGAAAACTAGTCTTATAATATCAACATATTTTCATCTAGCAAAAGATCCTGAAGGAATTGAAAGGCCAATCGAAAGGATCTCTTAAAACATTTGCTATTTGGCACTTCCTAAGTTAGAGCAGCTCATCATCCAAAGATCTGATTACACTTATTAGGTATAATTCCCCCCAAAGTCAACCATGCATCAGTAATTTAATGTTTCCCTTGGGCCTTTTGTCTTCTTTAACAAGAGCTAAATATCACACATCAGAAAAGCATGAAGTTTAGATCTGACCATTAATATTGTAAAACAAGCATACAACATTTAAAAAGCATGGCCAATCTCTAAAATGATGAAGAGAAAAAATCACAAGCTCATGTACATTTCCTTTGATTCTAGACATAAGTCGTGGCATAGACAGACAGTGGTTATAGTGATATGATACTATTCCTTAGCCAAGTGCAATGATTCGAGATTTAGAGCACCTATCATAAAGTATTATCGGGGATTTCTAGCCCACAGCTTTTGAGGCTTCTTGATGGTTAACTGAAACCACTGGTGCTATAAGTCTGTGCATTACAAACAGTTCACATCATAGAAACAATACATGATAGACTTCATTTATCCAAGATAAAAAAAAATAAAAAATGGAAAATTACCCCTTGTGAATATGTAATTTTCTTTTCTTTCATTCAAATTTACTTGCCTGGAAAAAAAAATGTAGAAAATGATGGAATGAAGTGTAATGTGGTAGTTTGGTTTTTCAAAGTGCTAGGGTGCTTGGTATTATCAAAGGCTTGGATACTAAAAAGGGTGAGGGAGGTTGACCTAAAGAAGAGGTGATGCAAAGGGAAGACGCCAAAGTGGAGCTAGGCCGACTAATTCTCATGAAAGAAACAAAATGGAGATACAATGGCTCAGCAGAATAACTCCCATGAGGCTGTGTTTGGATCCAGGATTTGGAGAGGGATTTATGGAAGGGAAGGAAAAGGGAAGGGAAAAGTTACAAAAAATCATCTTATATTTGATTCTCATTTCTCTCAACTTTTCTTTTCCCTCCATAAATTCCTCCCCAAATCCAACATCCTGAAAGACATTTGTTGGAGGGGTCCTTGGTATTATAAAAGGTTTGGATGCTAAAGAGGGTGAGTGAGGCTAACTTGAAAAAGATGTGATGCAAAGTGAAGAAGCCAAAGTGGATCCAGGCCAATTCTCATGAAATAAGTTGCAGCAGAATAGCTCTCATGAAAGAAATTAGTTGAAGACAAAATTGAGGGCCACATGGTGAAACAAAGGGAACTAGAATACACAAGTTTTCCAAAGACTTGTGAATTTCCATAGGAAACAATCGCATAAGAATTTTAGATATTAAATGGGTAGAAAAGCAAGGGGATATTGGGAGGTTGGTTAGGTTTTACTGCACACAATGAAGCTCTCGAGGTGATAACCAACTTTGGTGAAGAACTTAGGCCTAAATCCCAATGGATTTGGAGAAATCAAAGAGAGAAGATGACTTCTAGAGAGAGAAGCTCTAGACCTAGAAATTTGGAGAGTTTTAGAGAGAGAGGGGGCTGCAAAAAGTGATCTGAAACCCTAATTTACGGACTGATATAACAAGGTCACTCGAGCGTGAAATACACTTTTCCGTAAGCAATTTCGAATGTATTTTGCATTTTTGCTTTCGGTGAGTTGACAGGGTAGATCGACCCCCGAAGTTAACTGAGTCAAAATCGGGATCGCTACAGTGTCGATCTCTGGTGGTGGCAAGAAGATGACTGTCGTAGACACAGTCGGCCCACCTGGAACATACCCATAAGTTTCAAGGTAGAGGAGGAGACCGCGGCGAACCAGATCCTCGTGGTTGACCTGCGCTGCTGCGCTCCAACCGGCAGCGACGGCGATAAAGACATCGGAGAAGTGCTTGTGCAGGTTAAAGACCCGATGGGCTCGATCGAGGATAATAGTCTAACCTATCAAATTCGAACCCCGTTCGGAAATCCAAAAGCTAAGCTAACTTTCATGTACAAGTGGGCATATGAGAAAGTGTCGCCGCTTGCTATGGCGGGGGTGACTGGCTTCACCACGCCATATGAGGCGGCGGCAGCAACCTGGCAGTTTAATCCACCATATCCTTCTCCAGCCCCAGTGATGGGCCCACCACCATAGGGTTTCGTATACCCGACACCTCCATCAGGTTACGGATACCTGCCACCGGGTCACGGGTACCCACCTCCTCAACCTGGATACGTGGTGCAAGTTCAACAACGGCCTGAGCTTCCAAAAAAGAATAAGTGGGGGTGGTTTGGTACCCACCTCCTCAACCTGGATACGTGGTGCAAGTTCAACAACGGCCTGAGCTTCCAAAAAAGAATAAGTGGGGGTGGTTTGGAAAATTTTTGGGCAGAGTGCTGCGGTGGTGATTGATGATGAGATCAATAATAACACGCAGTTCCCAGATGATATCGGGTTTTGAGTCTCTTTGGTGAGCTGTTGCTGATAATAAATTTGACTTTTATGGGTATTTTGGACCATGGTGATTTTGAATTACGTGTGTTTTAAGGCTTTATGGTTTTTGTTAATGACTGGACTCATACTCTAATTCACTTGCCTTATATGTTTTGTATTAATGTGATCAACTGAAATGTCTCAAAATGGAATGTCTTGTTGTGCATATATATACTTGTGTAGTCTAAATTTATTTTAATTATCACTTCACTTCAGTTGATAACACATTAGTTTTCTCTCTCTCTCTCTCTCTCTCTCTCTCTCTCACACACACACACACACACACTCCCATCATCTTTATTGCTTCATTGATACTTTTCTTTATAAACAAAATTTGTTTATTTGCTGCTGCTGCTGTTGCTGCACTGGTATGGTAAATTGATTTGATTTGATTTGATTTTTAAAGTTAACTATACCTTGCTGGCTCTATAGATGCATTGCTTGGCATACTATGGTTATGGCTAAGACTTTTTGTTTATGTAAAATCTTACTTAAGGTTTTCATTGCATGCTTTACTTTGTTCGTTTAGGATTTTCTTATATGGGAGTCAATAGTGAATCAGATAGTGTGAATGTAAAGCTGCTAAGAGAAACAATTTCTTGCTTGGGTTCTTCTGTCATAATTTTTGGAATCAAAGCTTTAACATGCTACTACTAAAATATATAAATATAATCAAACTAAAACCATATTTATCCGCATAGGCGTGTGAAAACACCGTCCTTAGGAGTTGATATCGCCCCACTGAACGTGTTTCTTAGTGAACATTCAATGAAAACCACTGTCGTTTAGGGATTGCATGTTATTATTGATCACATCATCAATCACCACCGCAACACTCTGCCCAGAAATTTTCCAAACCACTCCCACTTATTCTTTTTTGGAAGCTCAGGCCATTGTTGAACTTGCACCACGTATCCAGGTTGAGGAGGTGGATACCCGTAACCTGGCAGCAGGTACCCGTGACCCGGTGGCAGGTATCCGTAACCTGATGGAGGTGTCGGGTATCCGAAACCCTGTGGTGGTGTGCCCATCACTGGGGCTGGAGAAGGATATGGTCAAGGTTCTGAAAAGCGGTTGCGGTCGCCGTAACGGTGGCGGTGACGCGGTTGCGGGGTGTAAAGGACTTTCCCATATGCCCACTTATACATGAAAGTTAGCTTAGCTTTTGGATTTCCGAACGGGGTTCGAATTTGATAGGTTAGACTATTATCCTCGATCGAGCCCATCAGGTCTTTAACCTGCACAAGCACTTCTCCGATGTCTTTATCGCCGCCGCTGCCGGTTGGAGCGCAGCAGCGCAGGTCAACCACGAGGATCTGATTCGCCGCGGTCTCCTCCTCTACCTTGAAACTTATGGGTATGTTCCAGGTGGGCCAACTGTGTCTACGGCAGTCATCTGGGAATTGCGTGTTATTATTGATCACAACATCAATCACCACCACAGCACAGAGTCTGCCCAAAAATTTTTCAAACCACCCCAACTTATTCTTTTTTGGAAGCTCAGGCTGTTGTTGAACTTGCATCACGTATCCAGGTTGAGGAGGTGGGTACCCGTAACCCGACAATAAGTACCCGTGACCCGGTGGCAGGTATCCGTAACCTGATGGAGGTGTCGGGTATCCGAAACCCTGTGGTGGTGTGCCCATCACTGGGGCTGGAGAAGGATATGGTGGATTAAACTGCCAGGTTGCTAAGAGAGAGAGTGTGTGGTAGGAGAGAGAGAGAGAGAGAGTGGTAGGTAGTTATGGTGCCATGCATGGATGGATGAAAGTGACCATTGTCTATTTACCTCGACTCTGAAGTTATTTTATTGGGTAGGTTCTCTCTGAAGTTATTTGCTTCAACCCCTGATTGTTGAACTTGCACCACGTATCCAGGTTGAGGAGGTGGGTACCCGTGACCCGGTGGCAGGTATCCGTAACCTGATGGAGGTGTCGGGTATACGAAACCCTATGGTGGTGGGCCCATCACTGGGGCTGGAGAAGGATATGGTGGATTAAACTGCCAGGTTGCTGCCGCCGCCTCATATGGCGTGGTGAAGCCAGTCACCCCCGCCATAGCAAGCGGCGACACTTTCTCATATGCCCACTTGTACGTGAAAGTTAGCTTAGCTTTTGGATTTCCGGATGGGTTTCGAATTTGATAGGTTAGACTATTATCCTCGATCGAGCCCATCAGGTCTTTAACCTGCACAAGCACTTCTCCGATGTCTTTATCGCCGCCGCTGTCGGTTGGAGCGCAGCAGCGCAGGTCAACCACGAGGATCTGATTCGCCGCGATCTCCTCCTCTACCTTGAAACTTATAGGTATGTTCCAGGTGGGCCGACTGTGTCTACGGCAGTCATCTGGAAATTGCGTGTTATTATTGATCACATCATCAGTCACCACCGCAGCACAGAGTCTGCCCAAAAATTTTTCAAACCACCCCCACTTATTCTTTTTTGGAAGCTTAGGCTGTTGTTGAACTTGCATCACATATCCAGGTTGAGGAGGTGGGTACCCGTAACCCGGCAATAAGTACCCGTGACCCGGTGGCAGGTATTCATAACCTGATGGAGGTGGCGGGTATCCATAACCGTGTGGTAGTGGGCCCATCACTGGGGCTGGAGAAGGATATGGTGGATTAAACTGCCAGGTTGCTAAGAGAGAGAGTGTGTGGTAGGAGAGAGAGAGAGAGAGAGTGGTAGGTAGTTATGGTGCCATGCATGGATGGATGAAAGTGACCATTGTCTATTTACCTCGACTCTGAAGTTATTTTATTGGGTAGGTTCTCTCTGAAGTTATTTGCTTCAACCCCTGACCGCATACTCTACAGTTAGATTCTAATCATTCTAGTATGTATTTTTTTAGTTAAATTGAACAATTCCCGCCCCCCCCAAAAAAAAAAAAAAAATTTAGGAGGCTTTTTCAAATCAAATTTCTGTGAAGCAGAGTGGGATGAGATTGTGAATGTCAAATGAATTCTTAGAAGCTTTGAGCTTATGTTAGGCCTTAAGATAAATTTTCACAAAAGTGTGGTGTGTGGAGTAGGGATTAGTGATGATTTAGTACAAGCTTTTGCTTTAAAATTGTGTTCCTTGAAACAGAAATTACCTCTCAAGTTTTTGGATTTACCACTTAGTGCTAATCCTAAAAGAAAGCAGACTTGGTAGCCTATGGTGGATAAGGTTAAGGCCAAGTTAGCATTATGGAACAGGAACTTATTGTCTTTTGCTGGTAGGTTAACATTGGAAAAATCTGTTCTGGATAGTCTTCCTAGTCATTATATTTCCATCTTCGAACTGCCTAAAGGGGTAGCTAAGGAAATTGAGAAGTTAATGGCAGCATTCCTATGGGGTAGTTCAGTGTTAAGAAATATAAGTGAAAGATAGAATACGACTTTGAAGAATTCAAACTTAAAAAAACTATTGTGAACCACATTATGGAGACATTGATAATGAAAATAATATCATAAAATTATTGTGAACCACATTATGTAGACATTGTTAATGTAATTTAATACTCTATCTTCTCAATTTTTTCCCTTCCAAACTCCACTCCAATGATATGGAAAATAATTTTGAAAGGAGAGAAAAGAGTCAGAAGAAAATTGATTAGTCAGTATTGTTTGCCACATCATTACGGGAGTGTGGGGGAAAAGATTTGGGGAATCGAGCATTTTCTTTTTTAAAATTATATCAAAAATTGACCTTATGATTTCATCTTAGACACGTCCTTAAAATAAAATTTAAAAGAAGAGAGTACTCTACTCAATTTTCCCATCTACAAGTAAAAAAAAAAAATTAAAATAAATTGAGAATCCTAATTAATATTGGGTGTAAGACCTCCAATTATCAGGTTGTTAAAATAAAACTCCATCTTTAAATTAAAACTAATTTTTTTTTAATTGAGAACAAAATTAAAACTACTTTAATATACTCAATTCACGTGATCAATTACCATTAAACCTAAAATAAGAACCATATACCACTGCTACCACCTATGTCCGATAAATCTAGAAATTACCATTAAACCTTTGACAACTAAGATATAAAACATGACCAGAGTCAACCTAAAATGACAGCAAAACAGTACTTGAATCAACCTAACACTTTATTACCCAAGGACTCAAGTAAGCCCTATATGAAATTCCAAAAGTTCTCACTTTCCCACCCGGTGCATGTTCTGCATCAACATGCCAATTTGCCCTCACATGTCCATGAAAGACATGTACCTTTGGTTTCATCCGTCTAAAATAATTTTGATTGTCAATGTACATGTTTAACTTGCTATCATAAGAGCATATCTTCAATGCCACAAACTAAATGGCAAAATGCTATTACACAGCCACAACAAAGAAAAATTATAATGAAACCATAAATGAGGACCTAAAATAGTTATTGTATGGTTCAAGAGCTAACAAAAGTTACATTGAAAAGCTATATTTTGCACTTGATCTAATACAATAAGGACATTAGAGCTATATTTTGCACTTGATCTAATACAATAAGGACATTAGAGTAAAATAATTACTTGACCATGTACATCACCACAAACAGTGAAATGCTTTCCATCTGGAATATTTATATCAACAAGAGACGGCAATGTGCACAGCATTTCTCTTGTTTGTAAGACAATCTGGAAGGCATATCTATAACATGAACACAAATATTTAGATAGAAAACAACAAAGCAAGAACAAGTCGATAAATTATTTTTTTTTTAATTTTTGATAAATCACAGTAATAAGTCAATAATCAGAACAATTACACCATTATTGTTGAACTTTATACATACCATTTGTGTAAAAACTTCTGATTCCTGAAGTCATCCATCATTTTCTTGACACAATTTAAAGTTACAACATCTCCCCCTATTCTTGCACCATTATACTGTGGCTCCACCTCTATAGTTAAAAAGAACATAATTAATTTCTAGGCAATAAAAATAACTATTTATATTATCGTGTTTTATTTTCTCCTTTCCTTTTCTTTTTCATTTTTCCTAAAATAAAGGCAGCTTTTCTAATCAGCAACAAATGTTTATCTATACTAATCTATAGAGGGAGAACAGCAATTGGTGTTTCCCTTTTTTTGACATTATGTAACTTTTTCCAATGACAAGTTTAGCCCAACAACACAAATCTGTTTTACCTGGTTTACTGGAGTTCTAGCTTTGCTGATTTTGAAGGGGGAAAAAGGAAAAACTCAATGTCCATGTTGTGCACAAAATGTACAAAGAAAGTAAACAAAATACAAGGTTTAAATATTTTTTTTAAAAAAAGTTTATAGAAAAAATCACAAAACAAACAATACCTATAGAATGGAAATCAATAGAATCAACTATTGAACGCCTTTCAGACTCAGGTACAACAATTGCTTCTTCAAATTTGAGCTTCATTACAGCTTTCTCGCATTCCTTCAATTTCTTAGTAGCATCAGGCTCATTTGGACAGATTTTCTTGACCTAGGTTAATGAGTGAAATATCCATTAGTACACTGCAAAGGAATTTACGAGTACTTGCATATATTTATTTCAAAAAGACAAAAGATAGACATTAGCAAATACATAAAGTGTCCATTTTTCAAAGAGCAGAAAAAACAAGTGACAAAAAGATAGGGAGGATACTAAGGTTTGTTTTAGTTTCAAATTGCAAGGTGGCTATTGGTTGGATTAAAAGAAAAGTTTTTCATTAACTGTGGCAGCATGCAGACAGAATTAAGGGTTTTGAATAAGGACAATTATTCTTGAAAACATCACAATCACCATAGAAAAGGTCTCTTGCTATAATAAGAAGAAATTTAATGTTTCCTTTTCTTTTTCCGTTACACCAAGTGTTTCCGGCCTATTTTGAGTCCAAAGGAATCTCATCAAATGCAACAATCACCTGCAAACATTGCATTCCTTGCATTATTACTTATTACTCCTAGTCATTTTAATAATTTTGATAATTCATGATGGTGAAGAAGAAGAACAAAAAATCTACATGTCCTATCTAAGATCCCATTCAGATGTATGATTTCACATTGCCACATAATCATGCACAAGGCAAAATCATTTTTGACAAGTCCAAACACGAGAACAGAAAATAGTTAGATATTGAGCAATTGCACGATTTGCCCAGTACACTGCATTTTCACTATTATGACTTCAGAATACAACAGAAGAAGTAGAAGAAGAAGACGAGCAGAGACACAGATAATTTTTTGATTCGGGCATTGCATCAAACAGTTGGAAGGCAAAAGATGTAACAGGAAGAAATACCTAAATCAAAATGGAGGACGAAATACCTAAATCAAAATGGGAAAATAGAGGAAGAAAGGGAGACAGAGAGAGAGAGAGAGAGAGAGAGACAGAGAGAGACAGAGAGAGAGAGAAATACCTAAATCAAAATCAATGGGCTTGAGACGGTGAGCGACAGTGAGTGACGGTGGCGATGAGACAGTGTACCGACGGAGAGCGATGGGCAGTTCAACCGAAGTGAGAGAAAATAGTGGCGATCCAGCTGCCGACGAACGCAAGGAGGACAAACGGTGGGAGAGGGAGGGGAGAGGAGCAGCGGAAACGGAGACGAAGAGGGAGATGGTGAGACACCTTGAAAATAAAGAGAGAGTGGTGCTGGTTTTTGTTTAGGGTTTGATTTGGTAACAAAATTTGTATATCATTTTACACAATTCGCCGCTAAATATTTTGGTCGTTAATTATTTTTTTAAATCCCTCCAAATATTTTACATCTTCGGAGATTAAAATTTTTTTGTAGTCACTGTAAATAAATTTTTGGCGACTAAAAAATAAATTTTTATTTTCATTTGGCAGCTCAATAATTTTAGTAGCCAAAAATAATTATACAGCGACTAAAATATTAGTTGGTCGCTAAAAATACATTTTTAGTTACTAAAAGTTTGGTCGCCAAATATAAAAAGTAAATTTTTATTTTTCATTCGGCGACTAAATAATTTTAGCAGCCAAAAGTAACTATACAACAACTAAAATATTAGTTGGTCGCTGAAATAAGTTTTTAGCTACCAAACGTTTGGTCGCTAAATATAAAAAGTAAATTTTTGTTTTATCATTCGGCAACTAAATAATTTTAGTAGCCAAAGTAACTATACAGAGACTAAAATATTAGTTGGTCGCTGAAAATAAGTTTTTACCTACCAAACGTTTGGTCGCTAAATATAAAAAGTAAATTTTTGTTTTTCATTTGGCGACTAAATAATTTTAGTAGCCAAAAGTAACTATACGGCGATTAAATTTTTTTTTTGGTCAACAATTATGGCATTTTTAGCAATTACATTTTTTTTGGTCACCAATTATGGCATTTTTAGCAATTACATTTTTTTTGGTCACCAATAATCAATATACCCCGACTAAAAAAAATTAGTAGCTAACTCTTGTACTTTTGCCGACTAATATAATTTTTGGTCACCAACTCTATAACTTTTGGTGACTAAAGTTTTTTTATTAGCCAAATTTAACCGCCAAAAATGTAATTTCTTGAAATGAGTTATTGTGTTTGCCCTTAAAGATCTTGGTTTTCTATCCTATTTTCTTGCTATTTCTGTCAGTACTACTCCCATTGGTTTCTTTCTTTCTTAACATAAGTATGCATATTATGAGACCTTGGCCAAGGCAGGCATGACTGGTTGTAAATCCAATACCTCTCCTCTGGGCCTACCCTTCACGATTCAACCGGCAACTTGCACTTCCTCATAAGTGTACAGTCACAACACAAAGGTAACAAGGAACAACTCTTGATTGACCTAAAGATGAAAACAAAATAGATATGTATAATCTTTCAAAACTAGAAAACAAAAATGGAACTTAATGTTTTCAAAACTTTTTCTTTCTCTTCTTCATGGTATAAAATTGAATGGCCCAAATCTTTTCAAAACTAATGGTGCATGCAAGTTTACAACTCAAATACATCAAAGTTTTCAAACTTAAACTCAATTTGAAGAAAGTTTGAAATTGTTTGTCATGTTTATCAACTTAGCTCATGATCTTCAACCTATTCCTTAATTCATTCAAATTAAAAGCAATTGACTCCAATTCTTTCTTAATTCATGTTGTGGGAAGGATTATCCACAAGAATTTACATAGAAATCTTACCTAGAATTGATGAATGATTCAATATGTTGATGTAGCTTGAGTCTAACCTCTTCTTCTTCTCTTCTCTCTGAGGAGCTCTACTTCTTGACTTGTGATAAGAGGCACTTCTGTATTATTTCACAAGACGACATTTTAGAAGAAAAATCAAGGGCCACAACTCTTAATTGTTACTTCGTTAAGGGAAAGAACAAGAAGCAAAATGTAGAGGATAGATCAACCGGCAAGTCAGTTTAAAGTTATGAACACGTGACATTTTAGAAGATTCAAAAGCTCTGAAAATTCTCCATAACATATTTTAATTAGATTAGAAACATTACATGGTTTTATATATACTAGGGAGATCTCCTATCCCAACTAGAATGACTTCCAACTTTTTTTTTTTAACCCAACTAAAACACATTTGGAGAGCCCACAATATAATTTTGAGAATTTCAAATGGAAAATTTTCTATCAAGCAATAGTTCAACACCTCCACTTAACTATTTATTTAGAATGTTAAAGCATGAACTAAAAATACCTTAGAGCAAATGAAACAACGAGACCAGGAAAGAGAATGTCTCCAAAGCCAATCATATTGTAACCACCCCAAGGATCAAAAAGTTTTGGAATTCTCAAAAGCATTGGAATGGATTCTCCGTCACTGTTGTCACTTTGAGCAATAAATAAAAAATAAAAAAAAATATCAAGTTGGCTAAATTTAAAAAATAAAATAATAATAAAAGTTGAGAATGTGAATCCGATGTATTTTGACCAAATTTTAGATGATCAGAAATAAAATGACAGTTTATTCGTGACTAAAAATTGTTAATTGACTTGTATCATCAACCTTGTAAGAAGTGTATATCAAGCAATAAGCAACTAATATACGTGTGAATATTATTTTTGTTGTAAAATTATGTACTTAAATCAAATAAATAGATTCATATTGAACAACCACTTTGAATTTTAGAATAAAAACATACTAAAATTTACAGAAATTCATAATAAAATAAAACTAGTAGTAGGAAGCAAACCGAATCCTGTGTGATACCACAGTGTCCTTAAAACAGATTAGCCGCCTCACCATAAGTGCTGGAGGTATGTCGACTTCTGTCTCCCAGAATACAACAGTCAAAACCAGCTAATGCAGAAGTACCTTCTGAATAGCTTCGGCGAACTTGATAATGGTTGCACTCTCTCTAACAACAACCAAAGAAGGGACTAGCAAAAGAAGATAGGAAAATTTTCTTTGGTGTAAAACCATCTCCAACTCTTTATCAAAAAACCATCTCTATTTTCCATCAAAAAACTCTCAAAACTTATATATTTCAAGTTGGAGGGGAAAGGCCTCTATTTATACAAGTAGGGGAATCCCTAGCCATAAAGGCTATACATCAATAGGCTCATCAAATGCCATTAACCATGGCCATCAATTCTAGCCATTAGGACTAGAGTTACAAAGGTTGAAAACCTATGGCCACTAATATGGTCATCAACTCCATCATCAAAAGATGAGAGGTACAAAGGTCTTAACCTCCCACGTGCTTAATATATATAAATAAATATGTATATAATGATGTTTGAATAAATCAACTAGATGGGTCACACAGTGGATACCAATGTTAGGTCACAACCTGATCCAAACCCAATTCTCAAACACATGCACAAGTTAAGCCCACCACAACATAACTTAGCTCAAGATTAAGATTAAGTCCAAGTCTAAGTCCAAGACTAAACCCAACACATGCACCAGCACAAGTACAAGTCTAGGCCCAGTCTAAACTAAGACTAAGTCCAAATCTAAGCCCAACTTTTATTAATGTCCACTTTATGAGACAATTCTCATTCACACTTCAATGGTTTCGACCAATCATTTTTATATTGTAATTTTCTCACTTGAGAGAATGCAAACTACTTAGACCCACCCTAACCGGTGGTTGGGTCCCACGTTAATTTCTAATTAAAGTTGCCGAAAAATCATTATTTTCCAACAATTTCCAACATATATATGCCACAAAAGAAAAATCTAGGATGCAAATGATTGATATATTTGCATTCAGGACAAGTGCAACAGTTGAAGCAACTAGCCAGCTAAACTCAACATTGATGTAAGTACGCACGTTTAAATCAGAGTAGATTTTTTGCTTTTCATCTTAGAGGCAGTGTGTGGCCCTTAATCAGAGTAATTATTTGTTTTCTTTTCTCCCGCTTACTAATGATGTCAACAATAAATGGTTGTGATAAAATTTCTGATTAGATTGAGGCCTGAGTTTTAGCTGTCTATTCTCAGATTCTAGCAGTTGCTGAGCTTCCGCCTCTTGTTGAAGTCTATTCTAGCGTTTTACGTGTTACTTCTAGGGATAGCTCTTAGAGTTTTCTGTGACTTATATATTCCTGATCGTTCTGCTCTAGTCACAGAACAATCTTCACATGGCAAGGGTCATCAGTTTAATGGCTACAGTGGTGGCTCAAGGAGTACTCATTGTTAATCATATGGTTTAATTTTGATGATATCTATAATATTATTTGATAAATTGTTTTTTTAATATACATATCTTATATTCTTTGTCACAAAATATTATCTGTTTAAAATATATATTATTTGATGTATTTGTTATAAATATTATTTAAATAGAAGGTATTGTGCCATATTTGATTTTATGAAATATTTTGAAAATTTTACTATTCACGTTTGGAAAATCCAGTTCACCACTATTCATTTTTTGACAAATTTGGTATTGGTGAGTTGTCGGTTGTATTCTTTTGAGATATGTGATATTGGTCGGTTGTCATCTTTTAATAAATTTGATCGGTTGTCTTCTTTTAACAAAATTGATATACCCACATAGGGTGGTAGATTATTTTTATTACGGTGTATTGAAGAAGAATAGAGATGAGCACCTCAAGTATTGAAGAAGAATAGAGATGAAACCCCAAAATTTACAATGTCGAAACTCAATCTCCACCGCACACAATGAAGCCCTCGAGAAGTTACACAACTTTGATGAAGAACTTCTGTCTAACTCCCAATGAATTTGGAGAAATCAAAGAGAGAAGGTGACTTCTAGAGAGAGAAGCTCTAGATCTGGATCTTGGAGAGTTTTAGAGAGAGAGAGAGAGGATTGCAAAAAGTGATCTGAAATGTCACTTTCACGAGCTGGTAAAACATGGTCCGCTCAAGCGTGGAAAGCCCCGCTCGAGCGTAAAATACGCTCCTCCAGTACTTTTGCAGACAAAGACCCCGCTCGAGCGCCCGAATGTCCCCTCGAGCGTAGAGCAAAATTTCAGAAGCCCGCTCGAGCGTAGAAAGCCCCGCTCGAGCGGAAGAACCAAATTTTGGGCAACTAAAAGTTTGGAAAAACAAGCAACCAACACTTTCCAAACACACAACTACAACCCAATAACCAACAATGAGGGGAAGACAAGGGAAACACGACATGAATCACCATTCAAACAATATAAACCCGAGTCCAGAACATCACAAGAGACGGGTCAAAATCGAGATCGCTACAACCTCCCCCCTTAGAGAATTTCGTCCCCGA